AGATTTTCTAGCAAGTCCAAGGATTTGTTTCTCCCAATGAGATAATCAAGGGCCCTTTGGTGAGAATGCTCGTCTCATGGTCTGCTAGTGAAATAACCCAATCTCAGACAGCAGAGAGTCTGCCTGCTGTGCAGGAGACCCGGGTTTGGTCCCTGGGTCGGGAAGATCCCCTGGAGAAGGAAATTGCAACCCACTCAAGTATACTTGCCTGGAGAATCCCATGGACGGAGGAGCCTGGCAGGCTGTAGTCCATGGGGTCGCAAAGAGTCAGACACGACCAAGCGACTTCACTTTCCTTTCCAAAAGTAGGATCTAGGTGTGTGATCATTCAGATTTTCTGGAGGATATCAGATCCTACGATGGAGGATGAGTACTACAGACTTAAGGGAAGAGATTCCCTGAAACGCCTCCTAGGAGCTGCAGCCTCTGCCTTGAGAATGTGTGCCGGCTTCCCTGGTAAATGTAATGTAAATGTAATGCTCGTAAAAGGCAGACCAGACGCCATATTGTACAGACAGACTGGAACCTGGTGTCCTCTGGATCCTTGTTTCCCAAAGCATGGTTGGGGGTTGTTGTAGTCATCTTTAAATTTGAGACGGCATGTTCAGTACACAGATGACAACATGAAAGATCACTGTCACATGAAGTTAGAAGGTTTGGTGTTTGATTCTTGAACACCTGCCGGGCAGAGCTGGGCATCCATCTTTCTCCTATTCTGTGACAATAAGTTGTAGTTAAACTTCCAGTTCTGAATTGAGGGCCCACTAAACTGTTCCCTAAAGACCAGATACCTCAGCAAGCTACTCAGTGGGTGAGAAAAAGGATACCAAATTTATCTCCAGGGATTTTTTTTTTAAAAGGCTGATGCAAGGATAAAACATCAACAGCTTTGCTTTATGGCCTAGTTAATGATTTTCGGTTTGAAGACCAGGGCATGTGCCTGCATCTGTAGCTGTCAAGGGTCAAGCTGTTTCCAGGCTGACTGTATTTATCACAGCAAATTGTTGAGCTTAAGCAACTTTTAAAATTTGTTGTGTTCTGCCCAAAATACTTCCTATGGAAGTATGGGTATCTTCTTGACCTGTTCACTATAATGTTTCCCTGAATAGACAGGAAAGACAGGAAAGGTGGATTAATGATCATTTATTGGGTTTTAGTTTAACTGTTTAGATGACATTTTGACCTGTAAGATATTTCCTTGTTGTTCAGTCACTAAGTCATGTCCAACTCTTTGCTACCCCGTGGACTGCAGCATGCCAGGCTTCCCTGTCCTTCATCCTTCACTATCTCGTAGAGTTTACTCAAACTCATGCCCATTGAGCTGGTGATGCCATCCATCCAGCTCATCCTCTGGCATCTCCTTCTCCTCCTGCCTTCAATCTTTCCCAGCATCAGAGGTTTTTTCTAGTGAGTTTTTTTCCATTTTCTTCTCATCAAATGGCCAAAGTATTGGAGCTTCAGCTTCAGCATCAGTCCTTCCAGTGAATATTCAGAGTTGATTTCCTTTAGGTATTTCCTCATACTGTCCTATGCTTAGTCACTCTGTTGTGTCCGACTCCTTGCGACCCCCTGGACTATAGCTCGCCAGGCTCCTCTGTCCATGGGATGCTCCAGGCAAGAATACTGGAGTGTGTTGCCATGCCCTCCTCCAGGGGATCTTCCCAAACCAGGGATCAAACACAGGTCTCCCGAATTGCAGGCGGATTCTTTACCATTTGAGCCACCAGGGAAACTTTTACGTGATTTGAAATACTGCTTTTTAAATGCTAGCTGAGCTATAGAAAAAGCTATAGGTTTGCTTTTGTTTAGATAGATAGATAATCTTACGTGTCAGAATATCTAAAGTTGTGGTTTAAAATGTCATATCACGTTGTCAGCTTTCTGGTGTCATTAATTTTCGGGACTGCAGCAGTAGAAAAGGACCCCAGTGGTATATTCAGGGCTGTCCCGAGAGCTCTGTTGCTGATTCATTCAGTAGATCTTCTTGGCACTCATAGCACATGCGCGGCTATGGCGGTGGCTAAGCATATCATGGTGAATCAGACCGTGGCATCACAGAACTCCTGCTCTGGAAATCAGCGCCATCGGTGGTTGGACTTAGTTTTCTGTGCTCTTTAGCCTTCCTCCTGGCGCTGCTTCGTGCCTTTCCTGTGGGTGGACCGCAGTGAATTGTTGCAGGTCCCTGAGAACACCCTGCTCCCTGTGTCTCCTTTTCTTTGCTCCTGCTGTTCCCATTACCCAAAATGTTCTGCCCTTATTCGTTTACCCGACAAACTCCCATCTCTGAATCCTTTCCATCCTCTGCTAGGCCATGTGAACTGCTTCGATTTTAAACCTTTGTAGAAATAAACACCCTTCCCAGAGTAGAATTGGTATGTCTCTCTTGTCCCCACCTCCAGAGCCAGGACCTCCTCTAGAGAAGCTGGAGGTTTAACTGAATGATGAGTTGACATTTGGCACCATCAAGTGGCTCAGCCAGGCAGTGCGACTTAATTTAAGATGAGAACAGCCTGATTTATGCCGCCCCAAGGAGGGAGGCAGGGAGGACTAGAATAGAATAATGTAATTGGACTACCTTAGTAGTCTACATTAGTAGACTACCTTTATATTGAGAGGCTCGAAACTTCTCTCTTGATAGGCTTGTGATTGATATATGAGAAAGGTGTTTTTTTTTTAATCTTTCCTTTTTTGTAAGCAAGAAACCCGATGCACAGAGGTGTGACAGCGTTTGCTTGAGGTCCTTCACCACTGAGTCAGAGTGCACGCACACATTCTCTCTGCTCTGTTCGATACTCAGCTTGACGAACAAGCTTTCTTTCCCTACCCATTGTCAGAGCCTCGTGAGCTCTGCATTTCACACTGTGTGTTAGCCTGGGATCGCTCTTTGGTTTGTACCATCGCATACTGGATCCTTGCAGCAACATGGTGTTAAAAATAAGAACCTATTTGACAACAACAACAACAACAAAATGCTTTTTAAGTGAAGAATAAGTGTAGAGTAATAATTCCAGTAAGTGTATGTGTTAATCACTCAGTCGTGTCCAACTCTTGGTGACCCCATGGACTGTGGCCCGCCAGGCTCCTCTGTCCATGGAATTCTCCAGGCAAGAATACTGCAGTGGGTAGCCATTCCCTTCTCCAGGGGGTCTTCCCGATCCAGGGATTGAACCCAGGCATCCCGCACTGCAAACAGATTCTTTACCATCTGAGCCACCGAGGAAGCCCAATTCCAGTAAACAAACTGTCAGACGCCAAAAAGTCACCCAGTCAAAGCTGGCCCAGGCATTGAAGTACTTTGGGGTAGTTTGTTTCCTTAGTGTCCGGTTTGTGACTGCAGGGAGTAAGAAAAGGTTAGCAAGTGACAGTGCTTAGGCCCTTGGCTTCATGGTTCTATTAGGTGGGTTGCAGCTTCAGCTCACCTGTTACGGAGGGTGACTCATGCTTGGGAATGAGAAAAAATAACAAAAGAGAGAGATGGGAACTCCCCGCTCTTAGCAGAAAGAAAACCTATAGATTGGAGCACCTTTCAGTTTTATTTCTGCCTTTAGTAATGAAGTTTTTTATTTGACCACCATGTTTTGAAATAGACCCACTTCCTTAATAGAAGTTTCATTGTAATCTATACCCTTTCCTTTCACACGTCTCAGATAGAGAGTACATTCACTCCTTGGTATACAAGCGTGCCCAAGTAATTTCAAAGTGTAGAAGGGAGCTCTTGTGTCATGACTCAAGAGTCTCTGTAGCAGGGTTTCCTTGCGTTCTGTGTTGCGGCGTATCTAAAATATAGCAGGCATCAGAAAGAATGAATTCCCCTAAATAATAATAATTAATTCCCCTAAATAATAAAGAATTAATTCTCCTAAAAGGTAATGTCCAGGTCTGTCATCCCACACTAGTGCTGTCCAATGTCTGTTACCCAAGCTGTTTCCGTAATGTTACCCTGTCTCCCCCACAACAAAGAAAAAAGGAAAAAAACAAGACAGATGGTGGTCCTAGCTCATCAGAAGCAAAGTTTATAAAACTCAGAAGCAGAATGGCAAGAGACTAGGGGAGAAAAGTGGGAAGGCCAGAGCTGAGAGTGTGGGATGTCTTTTATTTTAGATGGGCCAAAGCTGATAGAACAAGCTTATAACGGTAATGTAGGGAGAAAATTAGTTTTACCTCTATAGGGACATAAAATGTCAAAAACTCCTATATGGTGGTTCTGTAACCATGTTGTTTAGTCAGAGTAGAAAGCATCCTATTCCGAATCTCTGCTCTAGATTTGTTTAATGCTTCTTTTTAAAGACTCAAAAAGGTGTGTTTCTGCTTATTTTTTTTAACACTTTCTCTAGTCTCGAACCCTGTTGTATTGATCAGGCAGTTCAGTTCAGTCGCTCAGTCGCGTCCGACTCTTTGTGACCCCATGGACTTGGGCGCGCACAGCAATGAAGAAATTTTTCTTTTTTTTAGGGAAGGCTTTTTTTTTTTAAACATTTGTTTGATTTATTTATTTGTGCTAGGTCTTCATTGCCACGCTCGGGGTCTTTCTAGTTGCGGTGAGCAGGGGCTGCTCTTCCCTGCAGCGCCCAGGCTTCTCACTGCCGTGGCTCCTCTCGTGGAGCACAGGCTCTGGGCGCTTGGACCTCAGTGGTCGCGGCTGTGGGCTGGTAGTTGCAGCTCCCGGGCTCTGCGGTGCAGGCCCAGTACTTAGAGTTCACGGGCTTTGTCGCTCTGCAGCTTTCTGTGTCCTCTGCATTGGCAGGCGGATTCTTATCCACTGCGCCCCCAGGGAAGTGACAGATTTGGTTTGGTTTGGTTTTTTAAACTTGTCTTCTGCAGTCATTTCTTCTATCATGGTAGCTTTAGATAGCTGCGTCTCTTTTTCTTCTGTCTCTCTCTAAAGATACAAACTTTATACTTTTTCAGAATGTTTCTGCCACTCAGAGCAATCAAGCATCACAGTGAATTCTGGGTTTATGGCCTTGCTAACCAATGGCGTGTTTTTTGTGGGGTTCTAGAGTGTTCTGCCCTACTATGTTGCAACCAAACTGGCTAAAATTCGAAAGCCAACTTTGGACAAGCCCTCTTCAGAGACGTTTGTGAAGTCTGCCATTAAAACCATCGGCCTGCAATCCCGGACCAATGGATACTTCATCCATTCTCTTATGGTATGTCAATTTTTAAGTCCCAAGTTAGTACTTTGGTTTGGGGTTTTCTTTCCCTTTGACTCACAAAATGAGTATGTGATACATTAGCATATATATATTGTCTAGATTTACTAGCAAGGCCTCCATGTTTCCCACCACACATCTAAGAACTCTTAAATCTATCTATAAAAAAACAGTAATATAGTAAAACATAAGATCATATGTGTCACATGAATTCAGATTGCAGGCTTAATTACATATCTCTCCGTTTCTTTCCCTAGGCCTCAGTAGTCTCAATCCTGCCTTCCTGGTTGTACTTTAAAGTGACCATGAATGTGAACAAATCTATCCGGGCTCACTGTTTGAAGAAAATGAAGAAGAACTGAGCACTGGTAACAGCTTTGAGTAACTCAGCAGATGCACCAGCCTAGGCGTGTTTGCTGCAAGGCACCTACTATTTCCAAATCTTCAGTTGTCATGCTTATTAACAGTTATTGATAAAGCTAAATGTTGTCATAGTTAGGAGGAAAGCAGAGGTTGCTTTCAAGAGTTCCTGGCATATATTCTGGATGCTACCAGGAGTTATTTAGAAGTTTAACATAAATGCTCATATCAAATGGATATAGAACTAACATTAGCAAGAACTGCTTACTATTAATAGAAGGAACATAATTATAGCAAATCAGTGAATGACAGAGTCAGACATAAGGCTAAACAGTTTCATCTGGTCCAAAATGCCAGTGATGATTATCCTTGTATTTGCACGGAAATGTACTTTTAAAAAGTAATGGCCAGCTACTCTTTTTTTTTTTGGTTTTGTTTTTAACTTTTTAAGGGAGTGGGGATTCACTGATAAGGACAGACACACTGCAGTCTGCAGAGTGCTCTGTAAGCTTTCCTAAAAGCGTGTTTGCACATTTATGTAGAACTTTCCTATCGCAGGGGTAGCTAGTGACGTAAAAATAATGGAGTTATTTTTGACACATGATGCCTACTGAAATACGCTTTCCTCTAATACACATGTCTTCTCGGTTTAAATGTATGTAAACACTGAACGCTCTGCGGTATGATTTATGAAGGTAAACAGGCTGAAATGCACGCTGAGGGGCAGCCCTTCCAGTGCCGCTAAAACCCTGGCCCGGGAAGGTGGCCTTCTTGGACTGCAGGTTCTTCGTTTCTGCCCCGCACTGATACTGCTCACATGGGTGACACCGGGCCGCTCCTAGGACAGTGATGATATTAGGGAAGTGGTGTTACAGTTTTAAATAGGTACCGTATAGGTACTGATACAATTAGTTTTAATAAAAGATGATATAACCATGATGTTGATTGAAAATGTATTTCTTTGGTGCTTGAAATTAAGGCCATTTTTGCACTGGTTTAATATAAATTAAGACTTTTTTCCTGCTACACGCATAACTTGTTTGGGGAACTTGCTAAGAAATTAATTCAGTGTTGTGGAATATGCACAAAGCCAGATCTTTACCTAGGCTGTGGTTCCCAGATTCTGAGTTTTAAGCACCAGGAAATTTGGAAAACAAAACAAAACAAACATCCATTTTAATTGGCATATTTAAATGTGTTTCTAGCTTTTAAACGTGCCAGCCAAGGACATTGAAAAAAAAAAAAAACAGAAAAACCCAAATCACCATCTGCCATTGCATCATTATATAAAAGTAAAGAAACTTTAGTACACTTAAAATAGGAAGAATATAATCTCAGAATAAAAAATCGTCATTTAAATTGAATAAATTTAGCTTTACAAAAAACACTTTGCCTTTCTCTCGCTCATTTTTTTGTACAAATGGTGAAGTCACAATGACCTGGGCAATATATTATTTGCTTTCACACATTTGTTGGTTGATTGTGGTGGTGCTTTTGGTGAAGAGTTGGCAGAGAAGGGGAGGGATTGGTTCGCAAGTATGCAAAACGCTGCTTCTTGTACCCCATCGAGAAAACAGTTGTAATCTGGCTAGGAGATCCCCTAGCAGTCTCAAACTTCTGAGCCATGGCTCTGCCTCCTTCAACTCAGTGAATATCCTCTCGTATATGACACTCAAGGCTGAAAACGATGACGTGACAGTCTGCTTCCAGGAGCATGAAAGGAAAAAGGACACTAAGAGAGAAACCAGTGTTCTCAAAACCCATTCAAAATAGTGAAGCATAATTTTTAGACTTCATTTTATAGTGACTTGACTTTATAGTCTGATGTGTGCTAGATAACGGTCTGAACCCCAAAAGAGTAGAAGATAATATTTATTGTTTATGTAGAATCAGCTCACCTCATGACATAGAAAACTGGATTTTAATTTATTGGTCCTTCATTGTCCTTTCAGTACCATAGCATGGCGGGCTGGTGGCCAGGAGAGGTATTGCCTTGCACACAGAATGATGTAAGCTGTTTTGATTTGTCCTTGTATCAGGCCCACGTGCACTGGGAATAAAGAAAGATACTAATCAGTTTCTATTTCCTCAAATGTGGTCCCGATCTAAAGAGATGAATTCTTGAATTCTCATTGATATTTATTGCATCAAAATACAATGGAAGTGAACTTTATATAAAGTGAACATCAATTCTAATATCAGTACAAATGGTGCTAATTCAGTGTAGAAGAGGAGATTTTGGGGGTTAATAATACAAGTGTAAAATGAGCTTGTGTGCATGCTTAGTCACTCAGTTGTGTCCAACTCTGCAATCCCATGGAGCCTGCCAGGCTCCTCTGTCCATGGGATTTCCCAGGTAAGAATACTAGAGTGCATTGTCCTTCTCATGGGGATCTTCCCGACCCAGGGATCAAACCTGGGTCTCCTGCATTGCAGGTGGATTGTTTGCCATCTGGAACTATGTAGCCTCCAGGGACTATAATTTCTGAAGTCTACTGATACCAAAAATTACCTGAGACTTTGGTGGTCTTGGGTTCTGCTGCTTTGCTCTTTAGCTTACCAGGATCAAAACATACCAAAACACTTTATTTAATATGTTGGATAAAAATATTTAAAAAATTTTAAGGACTCACTACTTTGTGACATTCTAATATTTTTAGATTAGCAGATTTATGTCACTCATGATGTAAAACATATAAATAGGGACAAAATTAAAATTCCCGTGTGGAAATGTAATTCTTCCTATTGACATTTATATGGAAACATCTAGAAATGAAACACTAGCATGAACACAAACTTAATAGATGAAAAAATTTTAACATGGTGAATGGTAATACCACAACTTTGTCCCCTTCCCTTACCTGTGTCACTGAAAAGCAAGCAAAATGGGTACTACAGACAGTAATCCTAAAAGGATATAAAGCTAGCTTGTCATCCTTGTTACAAAAGCTTCTAGACAAACTTGTGTGAATTTATTGAATGCCAACCATGTCCATTTACGCTTCTGGAAGCTGGAGAAACTGCCCTGTTAAGCTAACCCTTGAGCCTGGGGATAGGGGAGAGCCCAGGGAGGGAGCAAAGAAAAGACAGGTAATAAACAAAAGAAATAAACACAGTGTAAGTGCTATATGCGGAGGGGAAAATGAAGCAGAGTTAAGGAGGATGGGGAATCAGTGCTTGTCGGGGTAGGGGTGGGAGGCTTGTGCTGTTAAATAAGGTACTCATGGTAGGCCTAGAGAGGTGGTGTTTGAACTGTCTTGAGTAAGCCTTTTAGCTCTCTAGGGGCAGAGCCATTTCAGGCAGACCAGCCCGTGCGAAGAGCCCAAGGAGACAGCATACCTGGTGTGTTCCCGGAATAGCCAGGAGTACGTACATATTGAAGCACATACTAGGTGACCGATTTCTGGACGATTTCAGAGATCTTGCTTTAGTTTAGTTATGACTTCCTAGTGTTATCACCTTTACATTCTTGATCTTATTTCACTACCTTTATTCACTGCATAATTCAGTTTGCTGGTATTTTAGTTGGATTTCTGCATCTATATTTAAGAAATGGGCTTGCAATTTTTCTTTCTCATATTTGTATGGTTTTCATATCAAGATTATAACCTCACTGGGAAATCCCTGGCACTCCAGTGGTTTGGACTCAACACTTTCACCACTGGGACCGTGGTTCAATACCTGGTCAGGGAACTAAGATCCTGCAAGCTGCAAAAAAACACACAAAAAACAAAAAAATGTTTATAACTTCATTAAATGAGCTTGGGAGTGCTGTGTATTTTACTATGCGCTAGAAGAATATGTAAAAGATTGAGACAATAATAAACTATTTCTTTGAAAGTTAATAAAACCAGTCTGGCCCTAGTATTTATTTGTAGGAAGATTGTAGCATCTACTTATCTTGTTGCTTTAAAGATAAGACTAGTCAGGGTTTCTGTTTTTTTGAGTTAATTTTGAAAACTTTTTTCTAAGCATATACTCATCTCCACCCTCCTCCAAATTTATTAGCATAAGAAACTTGAGGAACTTTCTTATTTGTTTAAACCTGTGCTAGATATGTGTCTGTTTCCTTTCCCAGTGTTGTTTGTCTTCTCACTTTTTTCCTTGACCAGTTTGCTGGAAGTTTGTCTATTTTATTAATTTTTAAAAGAACTGGTTTTTGGCTTTGTTGATTCTCTCTGCCTTTGTTTTTTTTAAGCCTCTCCTGCTTTCTAGAGGTTTACTGTGTTATTTTTCTTTTTTCATAATTTGAACATTTAATTGTTTCATGTTCAATGTGTTTTTTTACTCTTATGTAAACCCACATTTTGTGTGTGTGTGTACACATATGTATATACACAAGTGTATTCTTCAGTGCTAACATTAAATCTTTACATTAGAATTTCTATGACCTATGAATTTTTTAGAAATGGTTTTAAAGACACAAATGTATTTCCTTTAAAAAAAAACTTGTATTCATGTCACAATTAATTTTACTTTATGTACATTCTGATATGATGGACTAAAGATACAGCATCACTTACGGTGGTATTCCTAGCAAAAATGTATAAACTGGATATAATCAAGAAGAAATGTTTTTTAAAAAAACTAAAGGATATTCTAAATAACCAGCTTATATTTGTCAAAACTTTCAGATTAAAGAAGACTAAAGAAACCTGCAAAACACATGATCTTGGGTTGGAATCTGGTTGAGAAAATTTTTTTTTGCTCTACAAAGGACAGTTTTGAGACAATTTGTGAGATTTGAGAAGTCTGAAGATTAGATAATAGCATTATATCAATGTTAATTTCCTGAGTTTGATCAGGTTACTTAAGAAAAAGCTTACTTAAGAAAAAGCTCTTGTTTTTTAGGAAATGCACACTAGAGTATTGATGGATAATGGGACATTATATATGCAATGTAATCTAAAAAGATTCAGAAAAAATATGTATACAGAAAATGATAAAGCAAATGTGTTTGTATGTTAACATTTGGAGAATCTAAGTGAAAGGGAAATGGGAA